AATAGGGTTTAGGGTTTAGGGTTTAGAGTTTAGGGTTTAGGGTTTAGGGTTTAGGGTTTAGAGTTTAGGGTTTAGGGTTTTTTGGTTAGGGTTTAGGGTTTAGGGTTTAGGGTTTAGGGATGGGATTTCTGAGGATGGGTTATATATTGGGGGTATATGGGATTATGTAGGGATACTGGAAAAGAAAATGGAAACTGCTATTTAGGGTTTAGGGTAGGAAACGACTATTTAGGGTTTGGGGTTTAATGTAGACCCATGATTAATAGACCCCCTCCTTTTTAAGGCCTCAATATAAGGATCCCTATTATAATCCCTATTCAAGGGAGGAGGTTTATTAATCAGGGGTCTGGGTTATGTAGAGTTATTTGAGGTTATGTAGGGTTACACAGACTTATATAGGGTTGTATTGGATTATATGGAGTCAAGGGGGAACATATAGGGATTAGGGGTTTAGGGCTGCCGATAGTGGAGAATCAAGACGGAAAAGCAAACTGAAAGTTAAATGCGAAGAGTGGGTTTGTAGGGACGTACTGTCTGACATGAGGTTTAGAGTTTAGGGAAAACTTGCAGGTTCTTAGAAAGGAATGGAGGAATGCATCCGTCTAGTAGTCCCTCTACAATTCCGCGATGGTCTTTTCCATTCCCTACTGGCAACCAGCAAATCATGGCCTGTTGACTTTGACTTTCTCCTGCAAGGAGTTACCAATAAACTTTGGCCCCGCGTAAGTATAGTAGAGTGGTGGGAAAACTGGGAATACGTATTCTTGGGATTGTTTACTATGGGGCAGGGGATGGCGATGCTTCATAGGGTCGCACTGGGCCGTTGCACGAGTCCCTGGTGATTTTCGATGTTGAGCCCGCTGCAAACCATCGCGCCTGGCAACAATGCATTGCAGCAGCTTTTATCAGGGTCCATCATGTGCTTGGTCGGATTGTAATAAGCATCATGCCTCTTGTGCCATTGGGCAGCAGCAAAGTGTCTACGGAAATACCTAATTCACGTAGACCTACAAAAGGCGCTGACTTGCATGTCCCGCTAATTAAAACCACGGGGTCTTCAATGGCTCTTAAAATTGTCGGAACCACCATCTCGGCTCCAGCCTTTCCCTCTGCGACGCGCGTTGCAACTTCCGGTTCTTTGCCAACCCTATCTTCGGTCCGATGGCTCCTGCATCATGGTTGCATCAGAGCTTTGACGCTGAAGGTTGAGGACTTGTTTTGCAAGTCTAGGGGTCTGCGGGGTTTGGGTTTGGGGCGCGTAGGTCCTGGTGTGTGAAAGTCCTCGGAACTTGTGCCCGAAACTATGCCAGAATGACGTGCCGGCATCAATGCCCAAGCGCAAGGGACCATTCTAAAAACATCACATTTTCTCAAAACAAGAGGCTCTCAGGGGGTCTGGGGACACGCACGGATTACAAAGGTAGTATGGGGTCCCTAACACTAAATTTTGCAGGCGCCACTTTTAGAGACTCCAACGTGTAGAGGCCCACATGAAGACAGTTGCCGTCTCACACAGCGATTGTAGATGAACGTAGTCACAGCTGTGCTACTGCCAGTACAATGGGCTACTACCAGTACTGCGTTAAAGAAAAACTATGGAAGAATATGGAGTCTAGCAGGTACTTGGAATCACGCCGCTACGACTGAAAAAGAGTTAAAGAGAATCGAGAAACAAGAGTCAGAATGATGTATTAGACCCTTGGTTATAAATGATGATGACAGGAAAGAAGCCTAAAGCAGCAGCAGCCATATTCATAGCGACCCCCAGGAGATAGCGCAAAAAACTCTGAACCTTCACCTAAAAACCCAGCTCCCTACACTTTAAGGGGTCGGGGCTGGGGATCAGGGTTTAGGGTTTAGGGCACCCACAGCCTTGAACCAGGTTGGCTCCATGCTTGGAGTTGCTCTTCTGGGCGTGGCTGCAGCCGTACGCTCCACGCCACAGATGGCCAGCATGGTCACAGAAGGCGTGGCCCTACGAATTTAGGACTTGGGCTTGTAGGGTTTGGAGGGATGATAGGGTTGTATAGGGGTTACATAAGGATAATGGAGAAGAAAATGGCAACTACTTTTTAGGGGTTGGGGCTCAGGGTTTTGGATTCAGACCTGTGGGTTGAGGGCGTGGTGTTCAGGGCTTAATGCCCAAGGTTTAGCGTTGAGGGTGCAAAGGTGAGGTTTCAGAATTGTTGAAACCAGGGTGACAAAAGCTACGGCCGTCGTAATGGTTATGCTTGTCAGGTTAGAGCTAGTAGCCTTGACAAAAAGGACTTTCCAAATATCGCTTTCTGGTCCTTGTGGAGGACCCCTAAACCCTAAACCCTAAACCCACGTAGAATCCCTATTCAATCCCGATGCATCCCGGGGACCCGCTACTTGAAGGGTCCGGGGACATAGCAAGCAGGTTAACATTGCTGGGGATACATAGGTTATGACATGGCTTGTAAGAATTTCTAAGTATGCTTACCAAGTCCCACCTAACTCTCCAAGTATATTGAGAAAACTAAACCCGAAATCCTAGACCCTAAAACCCCTAAACCCTAAACCCCAAAACCTTAAAAGGTACTAGACCTAGTCAGTCAGAGTATCCTTCCGGAACATGGCAATCCCTCCCTGAAACTAACATGAAACCCCCTTAAATGGGACTGCGGCATATGAGCCACTAAACTCTTAGTGCCTCCCTTAACAACTCCTATAACCCCCCCCCTGTATAATGCTTATTATATAACCCCTTTTCAGGAGTTTAGACTATGGCTGATATGTTTGTACATATGTATAGAGGCATCTCTTTGGAGTTCTTCACCCCGACATTGCCAGCAAAGCATTCCTAAGCACATGCAACCCCAATTACCTGCAGCTTTGTGGGTCATACCTATTAATTAGAGGGTAATGTCTACTAAGCGGCTGCTAATAGCGGCTACAGGTAGCCCTCTTGCTCTTATTAGGCGCGTTACGCTGTGAAGTCCCAAGCCTTTACGAACGAAGCACGGTGTGCTCTCAAAGGAAGGGTTTGATGTCACCGCCAACAAAAGTGCCCGGTGGCTCCCTCGCTACTCCATAAGAAACCTTGCCTGTCCTTGCTTTTGCCGACATGTCCTAACGCCTCCGATGTAGGGCAAGCGATGACAAACGAATCCATTCCTGTCATGAAGATGCTACACGTGTTACAGTTGCTGCGTTACCTTGATGAAAATTGTTTTTGTTGCCAGTATGCATGCCTTCCTATTCTGCTGCCCGTTGCGCATGGAGAATGAAACGGAAAAGATGACGGAAACTTGCATTTAATGGAGTTTAGGCTTCTAGCGTTTAAGTTTTGGGGGTTTAGGATAGGGCTGGGCCGGCTTCAGGGCGTAGGGTCTCGGGTGTCATGGGGAATATTCAGGTATTTCCTATTTCTAACCAGACCCTTAGCAACATGGCTTGGCAGGAGCCCAGAAGACCAGCGACCCCGATTCGGCTGCTTCCAAGCTTGCCACCATTTGGGATTCGGAACCTGGGCTTCAAACTTCCTAGTTGTTAGTCGGGCTGTAAGGGTCCCTGTGAAAGGAGTTTTCAGGAAGAGGGGTTATAGGACTTATATGCTGTTCTATACGCGTATGTAGCGACAGGGTGTAGGCCCATTCACTGACTTGAGGGAGTAAGTAGGGAATCAAATAATGGAAAGAACATGGAAATTGCTGTAGGGTTTATTTAGGGTTCAATCAGGGCATGGGCAAGAAGATGTAACGTACTATGTTATTGAGGGTGTTTTAGGCACTACTACAGGGATCCATCCTTCCATTTTTGCTAACCAATAAGCAGATTGAGGACAAGGCTTCAGTTCTAGTTTGCCATGACTAAACCTTACATAGAGCTTCCCTGCCCCATATCTGTCCTAACCCTAACCCTATCCTTTGCTGCTTAATCTCAAAAATGTGTTGGGAATTTGAAGGTAAGAATGCAAAATATTAATCTTATAGGGTGTGCATGTCCTTTTTCCTTGCTAACCACCAGCAAAAAAGGCAAGGTTGCTTCTTCAGATATCTTTGTGTTTTGACGCCTGGAACCTCCCCACTTGATCCGATCGCTTGGAAACCTTAACCTACTGGGGGGTTAATAGGAGATAAGAGAATACATTATATCATGTAGGGCTTATACTCCCTCATTTGCTACTAAGATCCAGTAACTTTAGAGGGATCCTCTTGAAAGCTTGGGGGAACCTTTTGAAACCCGGGGACGGATGCTTTGGAAACCTAATCTTATCTTCAGGACTCGCCCAAGCCGTAAACCCACCAACCCACACGAGCCTAGACCCTTGAACCCTAAACTCTAAATCCTATCCTAAGCCGTAAACCCCCAAACCCTACATGCTAAACAGGTCGTGGCCGATGATAATGAGCCAGGCCCACCGCCATCGGCTCTAGCCCCGCTGAAGCTGATGTCTGTTGTGAAGGATACTTCGAGGTTTCCCAAAATCATGCTGGGATACCGCTTTGGGGTCCCAATTTATAAAGTTATAGTATTAGGGATGTATATGGTGTATATTGGGGTACCGTTTGGATGGAAACTATCATACTTTGACAGCGTGAGTGACGCGGGGGTTGCTCAAAAGCACATATATGACATCTAACGGAGATCCCGATAATCCCCACATGTCCTCAGGTCCCTAAGGGGCCCTTATTTTGCGAAGCCCGCATGTCGGTTTCTAGTCAGGGACAAGGGCTTTGAGTCAGAAGGTTATTTGGTGGTTCTGTAAGTTCCGTGGGGGCAGGTAGGGGTTATGCCGTGGTGATATAAAGCATGGCAATTCGAATGTACGGCTGTTGCTGACAAAACTCTGGTTCCCGTAAAAGGGCTGCGATCACTCTGGTGTGTGTGGTGGGATCTCTGCTTTCAGCAATGCTGATGTAGATCCACAGCTAAAGCTTTGCCACATGCAAAGAAAGCAGATGCTTAGAATTACGCATATGTGTATACATGTACGCGCACATTTCCCAGTTTCCTTGTGGTGGTTCTTGTAGGGATCAGAATGTTTGGGTCTTCAAAGAGGAGGTAGTGAGTAGTAGTTGCCAAAAATTAGAGGGGGCCAATATAGACAATATATTTAATCTTTATTACAGGGGCGCCCCAAAAGAAACCGAACTTTGGGAACCCTAGTGGTCAGGGTCAATCGCTTGGAGGCATCAGATTGTGTGTCTAAGTTTAGTCGGCAACTTGGGCCACCGACTACCCAGACCCCTACAGGGATCTAAGACTTGCATCCACCAGACTCAGAAATTTTACCTGGGATCTGATTTTGGATCCTCCCAGGGGTCTGGATAGTTGCCCGCTTTGCAATGAATGGGACTGTATTTCCAGTTTCTGGTGAAGCATGTTGCCAGCACATGCCGGTGTATCAAGGAAACCGCAAGGTGGGCCATCAGGTGGGTACCGGAGGCCTATGAAGCCTATAGACCTCATGTAGCCACATTACCATGGTACCAGCTAAATATGAACCTTAGATGGGGTGCCCGCCTTGTAACTATCCTCCTGCAGGCGTCCTTGAATGAAGACTGTCCGTCACTTGCAACACCCTGAGGAGATTCCCATCCTTGGGCATCTGCTCAAGTACTTGGTTGAGGATTTGACCACCACCTTCTCCTGGCGACATGACGTAGGCCGGAAGCCTTGTCAGACCACGTTCCCCAAACCCCCAGACCCCTGAGCCGTGAGCTTCTGAACAAAGGCCTACCTCCGGGCCACATCAAAGCCATCCACCCGATCGGTCCCTGAACATGAACATCAGCATCATTTTGGCGTCAGTCTTGGCATAAGGGGTTCTGGATCATCCCTGGCATCCTTGTGAACATGGCCTTAATATTGACAAATGCCCACGTTTTGTAGTCGCGCGTTTCAACGAATTGCCAACATGCGAGCCAGTAAGGTTCCGTGGCTCAGGTTAAGTTGAGCTGGGACGAGGATGCCATGAAGGCGGCTGGCTACACGGGCCTCTTCAAGACTAAGCAGGAGAATGCCCTGATTCGTATCTTACTGGGAGTTGGTAAGGGAATAGAGGAATGGATTCTACTTATGAGTTTAAGGCTTAAGAGATGATGTATATGTATATACGGTAGTTTCCCAAAAATGGGGGGACCCCAATATAGACCCCAATATACTATAGTCCTTCTTATAGGGACCCCGAAAAGGTACCCCTAATTTTGGGAAACCCCCATATATATCCAAGATGTATCATGATTATATATGTATAACCCTAAACCCCTAAACCCTAAACCCTATAATGATCCATTCATAGCACGCCACCGGTGAGGTATTGGGCCGGCAGGGGCTCCGAAGGCTGATGGCATGGCACCAGGCGCAGCCATCAAAATCTTCCGCGACAATTTGGAAACTGGGATTTGGGGTTTAGGGTTTAGGGTTTGGGGTTTGGGTTTAGGGTTTGGTTGCTTTTCAGGAATTGATTTCAAGTTACGATGTTACCTCCCTAAAATGGAGCATCAAATGGAAAAGAACATTGAAACTGAAATGGAAGCTGAGGGAATATAGGGATTTAAGGAACTAAGCTAACTTATTATGATAAGGAACCCTATTTTTTACTATATACCCACATCATGGTAACTTAATTTGAGTTCTTTGACAGCCACCCAGGAGAGCGTGAACACGTTCATGCTGTATTCCCTCAGGGGCCAGACGCTTTTCCTGCAATCTTCAGGCAGTAGCGAGTCCGTCGGAGAGCTAGTTACGCCAGTCAAAGATTAAGTTGCGGTCTCTGTGGTTGGTAAGCGCAAGGGTTCAAGCGTGCCATCCTTCGAGGAAGGGCTTCAGCCAATTTGAGCACATGCTCTGCAACAAGCTGTCCGACTTCAGGGACAAGGTCTTTGCTGAAAGGAAGCTGCTTGATTCCTTCAAGATGGCCTCAAAGTATCCCTTTACCACCGGCCTGTCTCAGTGGGCTGAAGAGCCCGGTATGCTTCCTGAAGACACGAAGTTCCCCTTCGTGATTTGCCTTCGGCCCATTGACTCCATCCGCAGCAAATTCGAGGAGTTCAAGACCAAGAAGTTTGAGCACATCCAGGAACAGCTCGGTCTTCTGAGTCTTGGCATGTTAACCCCCAACAGCCCCCAAGGAGGCAGATGCTGATGTCCTAGGCCTAATCAGGCTCGCCTTAGCCCATCTGTAGAGCATGAGGACTGCTCACATACCTCCCTGTGACAGATGCTGTGTAAAGGGCTCAGGCTTTTTTGGATGATTCTCTACTGTCCTACCAGAACATATTTACCGCACAATGCGCTGCACATGCATTTTGTATTGTATGTATCTATGATCTTCTTCAAGAAAAATTTGGCTCCAGAGGGCCCTTGTGTATTGCGTAGTGTAGCTGAGGGTTGGCTTGACGTGTACTTGGAAATATTCAGCTGCTCACAAAACAAGCCCAGATGCATTGTGACCCTCATAGACTACCAGCAAAGGAACGCCAGGACCAACCTCTATGACATCTACGGTGCTGCCGAGCCGAAGGCCAATCTCACCAAGACTCTAGACGGCGGTTGACCCCTTGTTTGTGGTTATAATATATGTTAGCGCTCATAGCAAACTCGGCGCTCCGAGCTGTTTGCTCAAAACGGTGGCGATATCAGACCGCCTGAATGGGCCTTGAACCTTGGGTAGTTTCCACGGTCATGGGCATGGTGTGCTCAAAAGCACTGCGACATGCCCTTTTGCAAAACCCTAAACATGTAAACCCTAAACCCACCAGTGACCACTCAGGATCGGCGTTGTCACAATGCGCACCAAATTCCGTAAAACCAAATTTGGTGACACCCAGCTCTTCTTCCGAGACTTTGCAGGACTGGCAGTTTTTGTTTTTTTAACGTTTAGTTAGGGCCTTAATGTTTAGGGTTAGGATTAGGGTTTAGGGAGAGTAGGTTCAATTCTGTCAACAAGTGAGCACTTCCCCTTGACGGATGTGCCAAGCTTGAAACGCTTGGCTGGACACTTTGGCCCAGCCAGAAGAAACTAATTATAGTAGAGGCCGACTTCTCAAGATTATAGATTCCCTTTCGAGGGTCCTACAACTACGATCATACCATCCCGAGATGTATTGAGGAAGCCCTTTTTGGAGAAATAGACAGAAGACCCTAGCAGGTCCGAATGTCCCCACTCCCTAGACTAGATTACTGTAGTGTCCTGAGCAGTTTGGATGCGGGTTTCGGGGCCAGATTGAAAGATTGATATTGGGCGTACCAGCGGGCAGTATGTCATGCTAGACAGGTTTCTAGTTCATGCTTGCTGATGGCCATGTGTGAGCCAGGACAGCGCAGTACTTACGAAAGGCAGCCTTAAAGCTTTCTTACCCTGGCTGTGGAACTGAGGACATGACAAGTTCGAGAATGACCTGATGGTTCGACCGGACTGGAAAGACATTGTGGACGATGAGGAGTTCTGGTTCGAGGAGGGTGCGGCCAACCGCTACAGTGATGTGGACCCCGGGCAGAAGGAAAGTCTCGAGCAAAATGCCTGGATCGGAGGTTACAATCCGGGCAGTGTGAACGAGATGGTCGATGACGCCAAGAACGGAAAGGAGTCCTTGCTCCAGACAGGCCAGCGCCCTCGTTGTCCTTTTGCCTACCTCCACCAGGGTGACAGCAGCATCGTCCACTCGCTGCTTTCAAAGTGAGCCGTCCTGTTGCAAGCAACGGCAGCGACGGCAATTGTTATAGGTTTACAGCTTTGCAACCCCCAGCCGGGAGAAAAAGGGCAAACAGCAAATGACAAAGAAACTTCGCAGAGTTGGCCGTGAGATTCACTGGCCATAACTTTACCATCCGGATGGCAACGCCGTGGCCGTATGGGCTAGCGAGTGCTTTGGGAAGTAGGACACGGTGCGGCCAGAAGCCTGTGCAACACCCAGACAGTTGGGCCCGGACCACATTTTATGCTGGTTGGCATGAAGCTATTGCCCCAAGATTTTGGAAGTTTACGGTTTATGGGGTGTAGGTCTTGCTTAAGATGATAGAAATCGGATATGCCAATCATGGCCAAAATAGATTCCCCCGACTATAACCCGAAAACGCCATAAGCCGTCAACTTTCTATTTTCTTACTAGGGGCCTTGCGTCAGGTAGATCCCCCACGTCCCCCACGTATAACAGAACCTGAAAGACACCCCGGGTTCCCTCATGTAGGGCGCAGGGCTTAATCAGGGGGTCTATCCTTTTATGTGGTGCTTGCAGTGGAAATCTACCCTATTTGGGTTGAGGTTGCTGATGACCAACATCGGCTCCCTGCAGAGGCCGCGTGGGTACTCAAAAAGGGCTGCCTTTAAGGACCGCTTAGGGCTTTAGGGTGTGGGGCTTTAGATTATATAGGGGTTATGGGGGTGCCCATTTAGGATTCTATTGGATATGTTTGGGGTATGTTTCGCAAGCATCCATGTAGGCCTCTACAAAAATCCTACTTGGGTAGGAGTACCTTATATTCCTGGTCATAAGCGCCCTCTGTGCGGGACTTTTGGTCTAGGAGAGTAAGGTTGTTGGTGTGGAGTGTGGCTGAAGGGTGTAGGTTTCTGGTAAAGGGGCTTGGGGGGGGTTTTCAGATTGCTAAGCTGTTGGGTGCTGGGGCTTAGGATTCCGCTTGGTTTGAAGGTTCAGAACCATAGCTGCGATTTGGTCAATCGGAGGAAGTAGGCTCTTAGTAGGGAATCTGGGAATGTATTATATAGAGGTTATGTAAGGAAAATATACCCCAATTCCCTATTAAGAAACAGTAAGTAGGGGTTTAAGTTAGCAGCAGGCAGCCTCAGGCCCATAGCTTCGCTGGGAGCCAGGACGTGCAAAGGGCATACGGACAGCATCGTATCCGCAAGCGATCTCGCATGTAAGAATCATTCTCTAGATCCAGGCAAGCTCTGCATGTATTTTTGTTTGGCACCCCTTGCTAGACTTAAGCGGCTCATACTAAGCTGCAACGCCTGTGGCAAGACCATCATACAGAGACATACCCGGAAGAGCCACGAACACGATAAAGATTCACTTGACATACGAGCAAGCAGATAATTCTGATAGCACGATGCATGGTTCATTCCTGATCCGTTAAAAGCATGCTCCAACCCCATGCTTCAGACAGGAGGCCTTCATGAATTTGACACGATTCTGGGTTGACCCGGTGGGAACTCAATGTCTTGTGGCTCATAGGATAGAGCCCAATTTTGACAGTAAGCTGAGCAAGGCATTCATGCAGGCTTCTTGTAAAAGCTCTCGCCGAGTTGTGCACGCCGTGGAGGCCAGTTTAAGTTACTGGTTCTTACCAAGGAATAAATGAACATAATGTCTATACAATCTTTATATAGTATAGTCCCTTTTCCCTACCCGGGAACCAGTAAGTTTAGGGCGCTGCCCAAACTTACCATCTGCAACCCTGAGCACATAAAACCCTGCAGTATCCTCCCTGGCTCTTTGGTCCGAAGCTGGAAACAGGTTTAGGGTTTAGAACCACATCGCCCTGACTCGTAACCCCAACTACCTACGGATCAGAAGGAAGGATTTTTCAAGTAGTAACGCAAAATTAGCAGGTACAACATTGTGACCCAAAAATTGTGGAAATTGGGACCCTAGACCCTATCAGAGAGTTATGATAGTTTCCACACCTAGGGGCACCCCAATATAGACCCTAAAACACTATAGTCCTTATTATGGGGACCCTTTAATTTTGGGAAAGCCCCTTATATCAGTTATATCTGTTGTTTCAGAGGCGCAAAAAGGAGGATGACCGAGCTCTCGAAGCCCTCCAGGAGTTGTTGCTTTGGGGATTTTACTATAGGGGTTGGGTTTAGGGTTTAGGGTTTAGGGGTTATATAGGGCTTGTATTTGCTTATATCGGGTCTTGTAGGGTTGAGGGCTTAGGGATGTTTATCTCCAAAATTAGCGCATAGAGCAAATGTCAGGGTGGCTATGTAGGGATTGTCTGCCCTAAATAATCACCTCCCCCCTCCCACAAGTCCCTGAAAGTGAAGCACCATTGCATATGAAGAGTGTATCATCAGAGGGATCTGGGGTTAACAGTCTTAACTTCCATGGAGATGGGTAGTGTCTTTCGGCATCATCGCCATCATCGTCATAATCACCACCGTTATCATGGCCACATGATCACCGCCATCACCATTGTCAATGCGAAAGCCATCTTCTGACTGCAGTGCGCTTTACTTGGGGTTCCAAGGGGGAGGAGCTTTAACGTTGGACCTCCTTCATTGAACCGGTCCGCTCTAATGAGCTTTTGGGGCCTGCCTATTCGGGATCAGGGCAATGATTGCAAGGCCCCCTATAATGTGTTTTGATTTTGGCGCCCCAAAAATATGGGGAGGATTCTCAACAATCTCTTGCAAATCAATCCACAGGGACCTCAGGACGGGCCGTATTGAGGATCCCGAATTTCTATTTTTCGGGCGGCCGTAGTGTTAGGGGGGGACCCTACTTATTAAAGAGGGTCCCACATTACCCTGGAACACTACGTCATCATCTTCCGGCCCTTAGTGGCAAACGGGGTCCTGCAGAAGTCAAGCATATGGCCATCCATCTATCTTACAGTACTAACAAAGCATAACAGGACCAGTTCACAGTCTAGGATCGCAGGTTGGAACGTTCACGGAGGAGGTTGCAATGCATCGTGTAGCGTGGAATCCTTATAGTCAGACACATTATCAGTTGCAACCTTTGAGTAATCTAAACCCTAAACCCAGAAGATCCTCCTATAATTTAGACCTCTGCATTAACAATATTCCAGATAAACTCTTGAGCCCGAGATGTTTTACCTTGGACCATTTTTGTACAATGCGGCTTTAGTGCCAAGGTTCCGCTTGGTGTTAAGCTTGGCCATATGTGAGTTTCCAACATGCAATGGTCCCTTTTTTGCAAACACTCATGTAGGGCGAAGGAACTCTGTAGACTCCTAATGCTTTGGCCCTGGGACCCTTGAACCCTGAACCCGAAAATTTCCACCTGCTTAAGGTCGCTTGATTTGACGGGGTAATTAGGGGCTCGGGGACCCTAGTGATCCTTGCAAAGTACTACGGAGGATTAGGGAGTATTGGGAGTTACCTACCCACTTGAACCACCCGCCCCTCAAGACATAGTAGTACAACCTAAAGCCAACTTATTTAAAGCCTATTTAATGAGGGTTAGTCGGAAATATGGGAATGAGCTATATCAGGGCAACTTGAAGCAACCTCACCCTAAATGGTGGTTTATATAGGGAATAGTACCGAAATGGCTTTAAATTGGGATTTGAAATTATTCTAAATTACCCTGTAACATACGGGGTTATGTGGTACTCATTTTCCCTTATTCCCCACCCTAAACCCTAAACCCAAGCCAATCTCGCTAATAGGAGGCAAAGAAAATTTTCGTTCAGCTAGACCTCGACACATCTGTGGAAGGTGCGGTGAAGGGGTCAGCATCCAAAGAGTTCTGGGTTTAGGGTTATAGTCCTCCTTAAGTAGATAGAATATGGGGTATATGGGGATCTTATTATAATATACCCAAAGCCATACTCTATCTACTTAAGGGGGACTATAACTTGATCCTGAAGCCTCATGGGTATCTGAGGGCTTCCACACGCATGGTCACTCTAAGCACTAAACCCTACACCCTATGTGACAGCCTTAACCCTTATCACGGGGAGCAAGTCCCGATCTGAGCATGCGACATTGGCACCGCAGTTCAAGCAAAAACTTGTGTCAACCCCAGTGAACACGATGGGACCTCCGTTCATAGAGGAGATTATTCTAAGGGCAGAACACTCCTACGTATTCAAGCTTCTACATTGAAGCTTCATGGCCAAAACTCGACTGAAGACTTGTTGTTAGCACGCATATTCTGAGATTGTACCTGACGTCAGCCGTCAAAGTTTGTCAGATAACTTCCTCCGAACTGGGTTACACTTCCTGGTATTCAATGGGAAGTTGCTGCTTGTATAACTATCCTTATATAGTTCCCTGAGTACCCTTATTTTGGCGACTTGTTTCACTCCCCCAGTTGCACCCGCAAGAAGAAGTTAGTTGGGCCCCGGAACATATTTGCGTTGGTGTCAAACCTAAAGGTTTGCAGTAGCTGCAAAATCGAAAACTGTTCCTTTTCTAGCCCCAAGCCAGAACCCAGAACTGAAGGAGCATAGAGACAGACCAACTCCAGTCAAATCCATGTTTTTCGCCCCAACGTGATTTTCTGGATTTGTTTTAGCAGCGACGTTACATGCGCCAGCATAAACTACGGAACACACAAGACTGCGGCAGGCATGCTGCTTGAAGATAGCCTCAAGCAGGTCGAGCGTCTTGCCTCAGCACGGGCACTAGGGGCTGAACGCGAAGTCTGCAAGAGCAGGTCAGCGAGAACAGAGCAGTTGCTGTTTTGAACTTTTGACAAGCCGTACAGGGCCCACGGATCATTTCCCAATGCCAATCCTCATTTGATCAGAATCTCATCGAGGGTTTGGGGCTCGAGGCCTTGTGGTTTTTTAGTTTGAGCCAACCTAGCTTGCCATGGTAAGACGGATAAGCCTCGGAAGGGCCCAGTCTCCACATGCGGGGTCTTTCTCAATAGCGGGATGTCCTTCAGGAACCTCCGGATATATGGGTATGTCAAATGAGATTTTGTGCGCTCTCCTGAAGAGATCTACAGTGGCAATT